ATATCGCTCCCGAGATCATCACTGGTTCAAAAACAAGTCCGATACTTTACTTTTTTTTATTACTTTTTTTACTAGTGATAAAATTCCGCATATTTTTCCATTAATTTTCCAAAATTTTCTCTCGTTCGTACCAATAGTTCCTCCCGACACCATCGCGTTTCCAATACAAAAATGAATCCGATATTCAATAGTTATAAAATTTCCCTTATTTTTCCGTTAATTTTCCGAATTTTTCCCCCCTCATCCGTACCAGTCGTTCGCAATCATCATTGTTTCAAAACCGAACTCAATATTGACCTTACAAAAGTGCGCGTATTTTTCCGAAATTTTTTCATAATTTTCCCCCCGTTCATACCAATCTTTCCCGATCTTGTTTCCTCCTCTCCTCCCATTCCAGCCGTCTTATTTCCCTCAAATTGTTACGTTGCCTCGCCAATTTCGCTTCCACCCTCTGAGCACATTCCTCCTGACCTGATGACCACAACGGGAAAAAATTTAAGCAGAAAAACGGGAAAAAATTTTCCCCACGTTGAATTGCATCTCTTTTCCTATCATTTTCCAATCTTTGTCTGGCACTACCGAGATGTCCGAGCAAATTGCCGAACATCCTCCTATTCCTTTTCATACTCTCGCGAATCTGAAAAAAAGGGAAAAACTACGTCAACTACTCGAACGATGAGTGAGTGAATTTAAAGTCCAACCCCTACTACGACAACACGGTTTAGACTCTTAGCATCGATGCACATTAGCTCTCGAGAGATCACTTTTAGCCTTTTGAATGTCTACTTCCATCATAATGCCTATGAGTCTTGTCCACAGGGCGAGATGAGCTCTGCCAATGTACTTCGAATCCTCTCGGTAGGATCCGCTTACACAACTTGAACGTTGAACTTTACAAATATTCACTCGAAACGATTATTGATGATATTCCATCATTTTTGCTTTTATTTTCATCTTTGATGTTAGCAGTGGTGTAATATGTTTTGGGTTTTCTCAGCCACACTCACTCCGCGAAAAACGCATGTAGGCGTTGTACAACACGTAAAGGTTTTACGGTAAAACACATGCTGTGTTTTACGTGAAATGGATGCAATCCGGCAAGTCTCCTAATTTCACATAATGCCGCGATCTTCACATGGAGTATTGCACCACTTCACGTAAAACGGGTTGTGAAACACCAATAAATGTCCATTCGAGTATATCACTACTACCTGTGGGCTAGCTTCTGAGAACCCTCCCAACTCGCTCTTGATGAACCTTGCTTTCGCTTCCTTCTCACGCTGTTCCTCCGTTAATTCCTCAGAATGCCGAACAAGTTCCGAAGCCTGCCTACCACCAGCCCGACCATCTGATCACGTCGAAAAACGTCACGCGCCTCGAAATTACAACCATTAACCATCACCAGTCGCGCCTTCTTCCGCTCCGTCATCATCTTGATCGTAGTCCACGATTCCTCCCACCTCATTCGCGTCGACCGGAGGCGGCTTAGTCTCAGCGAGCCGCTCTTGAATGCGAGCACTGGGGGAAAATGCCCGCCCTGGGATTCGAACCGGCGACCTCTCGCTTACTGCTCTTCCATCAGTTTGTCCATCTCTTTATTCAACACATGTTCGTCCCCTTCCTTACCATCATTTTTCCGACTCCGAACCGTCGTTGATTTGGTAGCCGTCGAAGTGGACATCACTCAACTGCTCTATAGCGAAGAATTTCGCCAAGAAAATACAACCAACAGTAATTGATACGGCTGACAGAAATTAGTAATTGCGAAATGATCAACAACACTCAACAAAGATAAAATGGTGGGCAGGTTATGCACCCAGGCTGAGCATCGAAAGGCCTTGATTAAATTAGACTCCCAAACTTTCAAATAAACCGGGTATAAAATTAATTTTGTTGGTATTTCATTAAAGCCATGGGTAGAATGTTAACGGAAAGGGTAAAACATTAACCAAATGGGTAAAAAAATTAAATTTGTCGGTAAAAAATTAATTTGACCTG